GGTCAGGCTGGTCGCAGCGGGTTTGGGTTGCCTGGGTGAGGCGCTTCGCTTGCTGTTGAGGTGAGTCCGAGGCTCGGGGGGTTGGCGTCCCGGCTTTGCGAGTGAAGCTCTTGTGAGACAGCGCTGGAGACGTGCAGTTTTTCCCTTGTAAGGGCCGTCCTGCTTAGTGGTATTAAAGGCTCTTCTCTCTCTGAAGTAGAACCATAAACTGGCACCCTGTTTCCTCAGAGGGCTAGATGGATTGGTTGCCAGCCCTATCTTGGTTGGTCTACCGAGAAAATTTTCTTGACTACCAAGAAAATCAGTTGCAGTGGTCTCTTGCTTTGGTAGTCTTGCCTATTAAATGTCTCACTTATTGCACATATATGCAGACAAAACCAGTGGAAAACCCTATTGCTGCCTTTTGGTGTTCAGCAATCTAGAAAACCTTATTTGTCTTTACAGTAATAATGTTTGAGATTCTTGGGGTTTGAGCACAAGAATTCTTTTTGTGCTATAGCTAAGCATGTTGATATTCTGTAGTGAAGCATCTTAGTAATTTCAGAAAGTTTCTTTACTTCCTTTCATTGTTGACCATAGCGTTTACCAGTCAGAAAGAGCACAGATAGGCCTAGTTGGGAGGTCAGTGGGAATTACTTTTAAGTCTATTCTGTACTTTTTCATTTGGTCCTTGTACGCTTACAGTTGACTGGAGCTTATAGCTGAACTTAGCCTTATACCAGTCTTGAGGAAAAAATTGCATGCTTGCATAATTGTGTGCACCAGGAACAATTCTTTTGATGACGGGATTTGCATCGTGTTTACCTGCTTATCACCCTACTAGATGCTGCCATCTGCAGGTCATATTCCCATGGTTGATTTCAGTGCATGTAGTCGTTTTCAAGAAATAGAAATTTAATTGCCTGTGTTAGGTGGACAAAACTTGGTTTGTATTAAACTTGAATATTTTATTCATGTAATATTTAATAATAGAATGAGGGAGCTTACATTTGATTGTACCTGCATGTAACAGTGTAAACAATATATGCTTTAATGGAAATGTGTGTGTGTGTTATTTGTATTTTAGCAAAATATGTATACCCTATCCTGCGCTGAGGTCTCTTTTGGCATTGTGACTCTTTGCTTAATCTGAGCGGGTCATCCATATGAATTCAGTTCAAGATGGAAATTAACTGTGTAAACAGTTTCAAAAATGGTACAGAGGAACATTTCAGTGGCTTTCAACATTTGTCCAGTATTTCCACAAACAGCTTTAAAAAACCCAAAATAACTCAGAGTTGTCTTTTTAACTATATGGAATGTATTTGTAAGTGTTTTGATTTGGCAGGTGCTACCAGTAGGTTCATGCAACAGTCTGTTTAGGCCAGCAGAATTTTTGTCTGGAACCTAAAGCAGCAATAACAGTATTTGAGGAAAAAGTAGCCGTTTAAAAAAAAAAAAAAAGAAAAAAACCCCCCCAAAACCCAAACAAACAGCAAACCAAAATTCAGTCCACGGCGCTAATGAAATCTCTGGACCTACTGACTCCAAAGTGTTAGTAGTAATTATATATTGATTATAATGGAACCTTATACCAGTTAAACAACTGTCTATTGACAAACCTTTGTTTGTAAAACATGGGTGCAAGTCACTGTGTAGCCCATGGAAAATTAATTTGAATTTACCTGTTGCATAATGTAAGTTTGGGGATAGGTAAGGGGTGTTTTGTGTGTTAGAGCTTCTTTTGAGGTTTTTTGGTTTGTTCACTTCCATCTTTAACACCTTGCAGCCTATACTGATTTACAACCAGTGTTTTGATTTACAACCTATACTGATTTACAAGCAGGATTTTGTTCACTTTTTATCCTATTTCATATACTTAAGAGATTGGAATGCATATCTAGAATTATTTTAATGATCTCGGTTGGATTTTGCTGAATAGAACTACTGGATAATTTTAAAGAAAATACATATAGTACTCTCTAAACATTTAGATACAAGAAGAATAAATTCTAACATCTCCCTCATACAGGATGTTACCAAGTTGACGCCTCTTTCACCAGAAGTCATCAGCAGACAAGCAACAATTAATATAGGTAAAAACAAACTTCTAAAAAAAGAGGGGTGCCTTAATGTGACTAGTGCTCAAGCAGTAGCATGTGGTACCTATGTGAGAACATTTTTAAGAAATTGTTACTGAAACAGACAGTGATACAGTGGTTTTATTACAAATTTTAGCAAGGTGCAAGAAGAGTCTTGTCATACCCTTTTAACTTGAAAAGCACCAGTTTTACTTGAAGAATACTATTGAATGAAGTGGGGAATAGTGGCTAAAGCAAAGTTTATCTTCTCTTAAAATTAAGCATTGAAATTAATTTCATGAAAATGCAAAGTTCTGTCCATTGGGATCTCAGTTTAGAATCTTGTTTGTTTTAGCAAAAATGATCATAAAACCCATACATGCTTCTGATGGGATCTCTGGACTTAATGCCTATGGAGAGTTTGGGGTAATTGTGTTGATCGTAATGGAACATTGCAGAAAATTAAAAAAATAGTTTATTAACAAACTTTTGTTTTTAAAACACAGGTACAATTGGCCATGTAGCCCATGGAAAGTCGACAGTAGTCAAAGCTATATCTGGAGTTCATACTGTCAGATTTAAAAATGAACTGGAAAGAAATATCACAATCAAGCTGGGTTATGCTAATGCAAAGGTGAGTCATTACTATAAATTTAGCAAATATGTTGCTAATAAATTTCAGGGTGGATGTAAGCTTGTAAGTAACTAACCCTTGATGAATTAAACTTTTTCTCAATTTTTAAAAATTACTTACAGATTTACAAGCTGGATGACCCAAGCTGTTCCCGGCCAGAATGTTACCGATCCTGTGGAAGTAGTACCCCAGATGAGTTCCCTACAGATATTCCTGGCACCAAAGGGAACTTTAAACTCGTCAGGTAACTGCTGTAAAATGAATAGAATAAATTGTGTTTTCTTCCTTTTACGTAACTGAAAATAGCCAGGATTGAGCTGCAAGCTGAATGTATTGTTATGGCAGACTACGTGTTCTTAGATGCTGGGCACCCCTCATCTAAGGTATCATCTAAACGGCTTTGTTTTTATTAGTTGTGATGCACAGTCCACGTAGAGCACAACTATGTCTTCTGTCCTCAGGTATTTGCAGGACTCTGAAGTGGATTTTTTTTTTTTTTCCTGCTATTAATATAAGTATATTTTAAAGCCACTAGAGTGAGAACTAATGTGGGCCTCACAAATGCATCTTTAAAATTCCTTTCTGGAAGGTGACCTTTGTTAAACTTTTTCTTCCTAGAGGCAGAAAAGTTTTCAAAGTTTTTAAACTGAATATATGAAAGCCTGACGCTTTATGTGAGATCAGGCCTCTAACTGGAGGCCGGGTGTTCTTTATTTACTTCATTTCCAGTAAAGCATAGCATGGTTATTACGCAAGCATAGTAACCACAACAGTTGTTACTTGGGTCTTTACAGTGGTTGCTCAAATGAAGGTAGGCACAAAGACTGCTGTATGACAAGATTCCTAGTTCATGCTTATGTAAAAAATACACATAGTGCTGTAATCACGTATTTCCTTCCTTTCATCAGATTCCCAGTAGAGCACTTGTTCTAACAGTAACTTTTGTTGGAGTGTGACAGTCATGGAGCTATTGCTAAACTATTGGTTAAAGGCTTTGGATTCTTTGTCTTACTATTTATTTGCTTACATTAGATTTCTAACATTGTTAGCGAAGCAGCAATTTAGTCCCTTGCTTTTTGGTGGCATGCTACCAGGAAACAAGGATTCTTCACTGAATAGGTTCAGGCAAGAATGTAGTGAATCGACTATTATGATCTGCACAATAAAATCGTAAGGGTGGAACTAAGAGCTGTAACGTTGTCTCTGTAGATAAATCTTTGAAGTGAAGTGCAATTATAACTGCGTAATTAAAGACGCATAATTTTCTAACATCGGAGAATGTGAGGCGTCTTTTAAAAGATATAAGTCCTGGTTGGTGTGGGGTTTTTTGTTTGTTTGTTTGAGGTTTTACAAGTAAATTTGTGAAATATTAAAGCAATATCTAGTATGGGTATATGATATTGAATCTTAAAACTCAGACAAACTATTCAGTAGCTGTTCAGTATTCTCTGTGTTCTTTTAGAACCTTTTTTGAAAATACTTTTAAGGTATTACTTCTCAGCGTCTGTCTTGAAATGTTTGTTTCTCTGTTTTAAGGATACTTCTAACTTTGGTGTCTGCCTAGCTACTTAAATAAATCAGTCAGATAAATTGTTGATAATTGGCTTTTGGACTTCTTTTTAACCTTCTTCTACAACAGGCATGTCTCTTTTGTGGATTGTCCTGGGCATGATATTTTGATGGCTACCATGTTGAACGGTGCAGCAGTAATGGATGCAGCTTTACTGTTGATAGGTAATGATTGCTACACAAAAGGAGAGCTTTATCTTTTAATATCATGAAGCAACTTTGTATGGGTTTTAAAATTTATTGGGGCAGGGTGACTAAGCCAAGTGAATGCTTTTGAGATGTGTTAAAGAAAATAAAGTGATGCTACAATGAAAATGTACCCTAACAAACTGTTTAAAAAAAAATAATTGCTATATATACTCATTAGTCTGGTAGCTGTCCCAACTGATTGAAAATTAATTAGGTAAGATGAAACCTTGTAGTGGTATAGTATTTACTGTAAAATTTATGTAATTTTATGGAAATAGATTAGCTACAGGTACATTTTGAGTTTCTGTGAAGCTTCAGTTTGCTTTAAATCTGTAGCCTTTGCAATATAGGAGAGTCCACAAACTTCAGTGCAAACAATAAACCCAGACGAATATAAGCAAAATCAAGGTACAGGAGATTTATCTTGATTTAGACAGTCTGATGTCTGAAAACCTAAAGGATGGAATAAATCAAGCAGACCCAAGTAAGCTGTCAGTGTCTTCGGAAATTTTAGATGTGCGTTTCTACTGGGAGCAAGTAGAATGGGGGAATCACTCTGGCAACCTCTCATCTGTCATATATAGTGTGGATGCTACAGCCAGCCGTTCTGGGGAAGACTAGGTGCTTATTGACTTGGATGCTTCACATGTAGCTTACTGAGAGGTGACTTTTTTTTAAATTTTTATAAAGATACAATGGAAAGTAGATGTCATAACTGTAGGAGTTTTGTCTATCTTTATAGTTTCTATATTGTAGTCACTTTTCTTCTTTCAGCTGGTAATGAGTCATGCCCTCAACCCCAGACCTCAGAACATCTAGCTGCTATAGAAATCATGAAACTGAAACACATTTTGATTCTACAGAATAAGATTGATTTAGTGAAGGAGAGCCAGGCTAAAGAACAGTATGAACAGATTCTTGCATTTGTACAAGGTAAGTTTTCAGCAGCAGAAATACAGTTAGTGGTGGAAATTTTTCAGTGTTGGGACATGGACATAGTGGTTTTCTATATGTTTATAGAAAAGCTCCTCTTACTTAGATGATGCCAGTGTACATAGTCTGTTAATCTCAAAAATAGGCCTTTGGAGTTGTGCTTCTTACCTGTTTCCAACTGCTTATGTACAGTAGCGTTATGGCTGTTGGTCAGAGCTCTTGGTGTAAAACTAATAGCAATAGCTCTTGTCTGCTAGCTTTCACTGAATTTGTGGTTTCTTCTTGCTATTGTCTCTTCTTGGATTGTTTCTTTGCTAGAGATTGTACTGTGATTTTTACTGCAGTGCAGTATTTGTTAGGGGCACCTTGTAGGTATAAGTGCCTTAGTTACTTTAATCACAAAATATTGATCTCTCATCTCTCTGTCTAGTTCAGAAAGGTTTATCCTACTCTGTCCATGAAGTTCTGCTCAGCTTTAGTCTAGTGCTTTGAGCTTCATCTTTCCCAGGAGCTTCCACTGTTTTCCCTGCTTATCTGCTCTAGCTGGGGTATATGAAAAGCTGCAGAGGTAGATTGTCACCATCAAAAGTAGCAACGGGTCCCTTTTTTTTTTTTTTCCCAGTTCAGAATTGTTGCCTCACAGAAGCTGTTCATAATGGCTATGTCAGAGTGGCTTGATGCGTAAATTTGGAATTGTTTGCAAAAACTGGAGTTATTGCAGGAAACATACATAGATGTAATTAAAACTAATAATATTTAACAAGCCTTGATATCTATGTAAATCCTTCCATAAAATTAGGATTTTTCCAATGTATATATTTGTATTGCAAAACTACAAAAACATAGATCATAAAATTGATAGGAATTTTAGTTCGTCACAATGAAATCTGACTGTAAAATTAATACTGATGTATCAAATACTGAGATGGAAATTATCTTAAGAATATTCTGATCACAATGTAAGAAGTGAATTCTCTCTTAGAGCAGAAGATTATCTTGCACAATGTTCAGAGAGCAACTGTAAAGCTTCTCAGTACACCATTATCCAAACACAACACAACTGCCTCGAAAAGCGGGTCTGGCTGGTTTGAGCTAAAATGTTGAAGGGAAGGATAAATGTTCTGGTACTCACTGCTTTGGGAAATACATATAAAATGTGCCTTGAAATTCATTAGTATTTTTAACAATGACAGAACACTTGCTCATGTTGCTGTAAATACTATATTAAGGCTTGATGTTGAACCTGGTTTTATTTTAGGTACAGTTGCAGAAGGAGCTCCCATAATTCCAATCTCAGCACAGCTGAAATACAACATTGAGGTAGTTTGTGAGTATATAGTGAAGAAAATCCCAGTCCCTTTGCGAGACTTCACATCTGAACCAAGGCTTATTGGTATGTAAATGCTTAGGTCTGGCCTTTCATGGCTAACCATTTCCTATATGTGTCTACACTTGAAATAGCATGTTGCTGAATTCTTTAAAGAGGTAGATTTAAAAGGAGCATTTAGTGTGCTGCTCTTTTAAAACTTGCATGTTTTCTGAGAGCTGTCTTGTTTGTTCATAGCTAATTGCTATAGTTAAATCTATTTGAGGTAATTGCTGGGGTTTTTGCATATTCTATGTGTATGACAGCACTAAAATGCAATAAATATTAAAAACTTACCCATGTCTTAAAACATTCCTGTAGTTTCTATGAATTTAAATTTGATTTAACGAAGTGCTGACAAACTGTTGAATTTGAAAATTAAATTATTTCCATGAAAACCTGACAGGTAGCCTGGTTAGATTTTCTGTGTTAGAGTCCTGTCTCCTGGAAGTCTCAGGCTTTGTCCAGAATATTTTAAAATTCAGTTCCACTCTAATGAATCCATTTGTTTGCTCCCCCCCCCCCAAAAAAAACCCACCAAACATGGGAGACCTATAAAATACATGTTCAGAAGGCATAAAAACTGACTGCATTAAAACAAGGTTACAATATCCACAGTTGGCATTGTGAATATTGAAGGGGCTTTTTTAATATAGTTGATCATTGCATTGTGTTTCAGGTACTGATATTTAACTTAATTTTTGCTATCCAGAAACCATTTAAAAGGCCATTTATGTATATGAGCAGCTTAAATGGTTTTGAGAACAAAATCAACTATATACTTAAAAATTCAGAAGAAAATATTCATCATAATTCAGGGATAACACTAAAATATGTTTTATAATATTTAGAAATATGTGTATACCTTATTAAGAATAATATTAAGAATTGCTAAAGAAAGGCACTAATGCTTTTAAAAACTAATCTTAAATATAAATGTGGTTATGGTCTATTCTTTTCAGTAATTAGATCTTTTGATGTCAACAAGCCTGGCTGTGAAGTTGATGACCTTAAGGGGGGTGTAGCTGGTGGCAGTATTCTAAAGGGTGTTTTAAAGGTAACCTTTTCCCTCTCTTGTCTGTATATTTGTAATGATAATAATGAGTAGAATTTTTGCATGCTTAGTACAAAATTAATGTTTATAATTGAGTGGGTTTTAAACTAGAATACAGTCGGATAGCACCCATCCGTTCTGTGCTTCAATTTTATTTTCCAGTTTGAAAATATTGGAACAAGAAACACTGATTTTTATTTTTTATATGTACTGTTGTTACCATAGCCTTAACTTTTGCTAATAATTATACTGATTTCATTGCTTACAAAAATTGAGGGAGCTATTTTTTTATTTTTTCAGTCCTATCACTTTTACTTGCTGAATTACTGGGGGGAAAGAGGGGACCAAAAGAACTTTAAAGGTACCCCTGAAGTGTGTGTGGGTTCCCACAGGTCCCACTTCCCCATTTAAGTATTCTGTGTATTTTGATTTTTTTATTTTCCTTGTGGGATACTGTCAATAGATGGAAACTTTAAAAGTTGCTCTGTTAGGCTGGAAAGCAAACTACATCTTTGAACATTTATACAATTTGTATTTTCTTTGTGTTGCAGTTTATTGATGCTGATCAGTTACACCAATTGAATTAACTCTTTTTTTTCTCAGGGCTGTAGCATTTCTAAATAAAATGTCATTTTAAAAAATTAAAATTTAAATACTGGAATTAAAGCTGGTAAATACCCTTTGCTAAAGCAGTTTTGTAAATTGTATTGAAGAGAAAATCAGTTGTTATGTTGGCTGTAAGACACAGAGCTTTCAGCATTGTTCAATTTGCAGTAAACGGTGCAACAGAAGTCCTAGAAATTCTACAATAGCCCAGAACCACGGCCTTGTATAAATAGTAGATCTTGGGATAAATAGGTCTTATCTGTGACTAGTAGTTAGCTTTATGTTCCTGTGAAACAACCAGTTAATCACTTTTTCACTGCTGTAATTAGGTGGGTCAGGAAATTGAGGTGCGGCCTGGCATTGTGTCCAAGGACAGTGAAGGAAAACTCATGTGCAAGCCGATCTTTTCCAAAATTGTGTCCCTCTTTGCCGAACACAATGATCTGCAATATGCTGCTCCAGGAGGTCTTATAGGTAAGAATATTCTCTAATGAAAAGATTTATTTCTTCATGCTTATTGAAAACACTTGGTTTCATTCAACAATTAATCTCAGTGTAGTAAACTAAAAGGCTATGAGCAATTTCAGATAATTCATGTATGTAAAGAGAGACAGCATGGGTGTGAAAATTAGACATTTAATAAATAAATAATTTTCTTGACTGTCACTGGCCAACGCAGATCAAAGTGCATTGTTAATTGTAGTGGCTTTAACAGTAGAATATTTCTTTGTCTGTTTAGACAGAGCTCACAGTCTTGCTGACATTCTGAAAGTGCTGTCCAGGTAATAGGGAATTCCTAGTACATTCTCAGTTTGTTGTTTTTAGATCTCCTTCAAATATTTTAATACATACATGTGACAGCTACCTTCCAGTTACTCCTTGTGCCTTTCCTTGTGTTGTAGGTGTTGGAACTAAGATTGATCCAACTTTGTGTCGGGCTGACCGAATGGTGGGCCAAGTTCTCGGTGCAGTTGGAGCACTGCCGGAAATATTTACAGAGCTAGAAATTTCCTATTTCTTGCTGAGACGACTATTAGGTGTGCGCACTGAAGGAGACAAGAAAGCTGCAAAGGTCTGTATTCCTTTTTCAGTCTTTGCTGATTTCTCTTCTTGTGCTAAGTTTTATTAGTATATGCATTCTTTGATCTTACCTAGTAGTTTTGTCTTCCTGTTCATATACACTTGTCACTGAACTTACGTGTTTTTTAAATATTGTAGAAGAATGCTTTTCAGAGGAGAAGGAACTCTCATCAGAGTCGTGTAAAGTAGCATTAAGTATTTATGTGTCCTGGAGTTAGGTATTCTTCTAAACATACTCAATAGTTGTCTTCCTTTGCCATCGGTCTATTCATTTGTGCAATGATTAGTTTTATACACGTACTGATCTACTTAATACTTACCTGGTTTTTGTAGATCCTCTCTCTGAAGAACATTTTGAAGTTAAGTATTTTTGAAACACTCTAGTTGAAAAGAAACTGAATTTGATGCACAGCACAGTCTCATGTTCTGTGGTCCTTTTTACACAAACTAAAAGGTCCTAGTTTTCCCTGTTAGCATTAAAATCTATAAACTGTTTCATGCAACAGTAAGTTAAGTGCTTCAGTGCTCTCTTTATCCTGTGAAATGAATTATTTTTTGAGAAATCATTTTGATGTATGTAGGCCTAAGGGAGATGAGAATATCCAGATTATTGTTATGGTATAACTTTCCAGTTTATAGCATTATCTGAGACTGTTTTCACTTTTCATACAGTATGTGCAGTCTTCAGTATCTTTCATAGACAACGCAGAGAAATCCCAAGAAAGTATATCATACCAAGAACCTGCAGTACTACAGGGACAACATATTTACATATTTGTCCTTTCACCTATAAACTTTATCCACTGACACTGTTGTGCATGGTTCGTGTGATATTTATAGTTTCTGCATTTCTCAGCTATATCTTTTTGTGGCAGCTAGGTAGTAGACAATACTCAATATTGCCTGTGGTATATTTTTTAAGTACTAAAGCTTATGTTTCAGAGTTTTATATGTCTGTCTCCAGGTGCAAAAATTATCGAAGAATGAAGTTTTAATGGTAAACATAGGATCCTTATCTACTGGAGGGAGAGTCAGTGCAGTAAAAGCTGATTTGGGGAAGATTGTGCTAACTAACCCAGTCTGCACAGAAGTGGGAGAAAAAATTGCCCTGAGTCGAAGAGTTGAGAAACACTGGCGGTAAGTTAGTGCTAAATTGCTAGAGTACCTTGTTGTTATATTGCTAACAAAAAAATACATGGATCTGATTTTGCTCTAGAATAGGTAATTGTATGTCTGTTTTAAAAATTCCTCTGGATTCTCCTAAAACATTGACACCATTATTGTGGGATGTTTTGTTTTATTTAATTTCTAGCCTCTTAAAAGCAGCATTATAGTGCGTAGATGTCTATTACTTAAAAGACAAGGAAACATCTGAGGTTCGTGGTTTGTTGCCAGAACAGCCATGCTTTAGCTGAGCTAAAAGTAGACTATCTTGGCAGCACAGTTTGAAAATTCTAGTAATGCTGAGCCAAAGCTTGTCTTATACACACCTAAGTCAGTGATGTTCAACCTGTGGAGCTGTATGCAACTTCTAGCACAACCTTGAAGTAATAGCTGGGGAATGGAGAAGTGACATTCTAAGGTTCAAGTATTTTGTATACTATGAGCAAAGAGGGGAAAAAAAAAAGTATCAACTGGATTGACCCATTCAAATTAGAACTATAAAGTGGAAGCATCTGGAGGCTGAAAATGATGAGCAGAATTTGTTGATGATCCACTTTAAGCTTGATGCCATACTTCTCTTTAGATGATTATGCATACCGTACCTGTTTACGCATTCCATAAGACTACATAAGTATCATAAGGGTATTTAGATTCATTGACCCTGCACAGCTTTTGTAGTATGAGGAGAAAGTGTAAGGGAACGTAGCCATTCATACAAGAAGTCCCTACTGTATGGAAAAAAAACAAGCTTTAAATATCCATGGATGTGTGTTTCTTTTTCAGGTCAACAGGAAAGTGTAGATGAGAATTCAGTGCTTGCTGTCTCGGAGCTAGCTGACAAATCAGGAAAGAGATTATTCCCTGAAAAATACCCCAAGGAAAATATAACATCTCTTGAACAGGAGGGAGGGAAATGAGAGAAAGAGAGAGGAAGAAAAAAAAAGACGATGACTAGGACCCAAGTTAAGGCAGGGAAAGCAAAAGGAAGAGGAGAAACTATTTATATTGGAAATTACACTTTTTGAGCTATAGACTGATAGCCTGTGTAAATTTTAATCTGAGTTTTGTTACTTCTCTAGATTACTTCCCACTTGAAAAACATGACCAAATTTTGTCAAAAAGCCCACTTCTCTCTGGTTTATGGGGTGGACAAGTAATGGCAGCCTGCTATAAAGATCCTGTTATTAAAAAATCACCTTCTGTGCTGTATTAAAAGGACAAAGGGACAACATAAAGAAACTGAAAGTTGAGAAAAGGGAAAAGAGGCAAACTGGGAAGAACAGCATAATAAAATCCAGCTGGAGTAAAGATAACATACGGTTGGTACTGTGAAAAGGAACTGGTAGCCTGAGGCAATGGAGTACTGAAAAGATGGAAGAAAGTGAGAAAACGAGATGAACAGGAAGTATGAAGTAGCAAATAAATATATAGAAGCATAGATGTTAAACAGCAAATGGCCAAGCAAACAGGATACACTAGTGATTCCAAAGAACAATGAATTCAAAGGTGGATTAATTAAAACCTATGGATATAATCCCAAAAAGTGGGAAGTGCTGGGCTAATACACTTCAGTTCCTTTTCTGGTGTCCAGAGACAGGCTCTGCTGCTTAGCAAAGTAAATCAAGATGCACATGTGGTTCCTGAATATCTCCTTGCCAGAAATTGGAAGCTTTTTAAAGGCAGTTGTACGAATAACATGGACTGCCTGCTCAGTGTGGAAATGGACATAATGTTATCTTCTTTTTAAAAGCATATTTTTCTGAGGCAACAGTGACCTATAAAAGGGTCCTTAATGTTATTGAATATAAATAGTAGAACTTACCTGAGAGTTGAGTTACCTTTATACGTTACATGTTCGTCAAGAATGACAGCTCTGTTTATAATCTTACTGTCATCTTGTCTGAATTTTCACATTTTCTTTTCTATTTGAAAGTAATGCAGCACTGCAAGCATAGGTGAAAGTAGATCAAGCTGAGAATAGATTTACAGTGCACCAGTTACAACACTTTCAGATTTTTAGCTTCCTGTTCAAAGGTACATCCTTAGCTGATTACAAACATAGAAATGTTCTCTGTCCCTCATCCTTTTTTACCGTTTCCACTAACCAACCAGTCGTAGATCTTGTAGGATATTTTAGGTGGCAGAGAGGTGGAGAAAATTCAAAATGTGAGAACTGAAGGCATAGGAATGACAGAAGGATGTTGATTTATCCTCAATATTTCTGACTGCTATTAAAAGTAATATAAACTGTTTTTCTTTTTGCAGTTTAATTGGTTGGGGTCAAATCAGAAGAGGAGTGACAATCAAGCCAACTGTTGACGATGACTGAAGAACAAAAGAGAGTGCTTCATTTTTAAAGATGAAGTGCCTATTTCTATTTTGGAGGGGGTATATTTTCACAGTGAAAGTGGAAGCTGTGCAAACATTATCTGTGAGTTGTATGGCTGTCCTTGTACATTTGATTGAATTTTACCCTCTTACTAAAATACTAGTCACTATCACCATTAAAAGTGTAAAAGAATTGGCGTAGAAGTGGATTTAATTATCCACATTTCAGTAGAAATTAATTGTACATGTCCCATGGCATGTCTAATTTATGTTATTTTGTGTTTCAGACATATCTGTTTAATATCAGTCAAGCCAGCCCCAGTGTAACACACAAACCATAAATCTGGTATTGAAATAAAATATTGCTTATTTTCATTAATACATTTTTTTTTTCTGAGTAACAAAAGACTGTGCTGATTGTTCAACCAGTACAAGAATTAAAAACAAAGAAAACAAACTCTCCTTGGAGACTAGTACCCTTTGTGCACAACATCTTGTTTTGTTTAGACAGCTGTTTACAGCAAGAACTTTTGTCCTTAGTTTTTATGGTTCTGAGGTTAGGGTTCTAGCTGGATTACACTTCATTAATTAGGATGGCAATGTTCATAGAATCACAGAATGGTTTGGGTTGGAAGGGACCTTAAAGATCATCTAGTTCCAACCCCCCTGCTGCGGGCAGGGACACCCTCCACTTGACCACGTTGCCCAAAGCCTCATCCAACCTGGCCTTGAACACTTCCAGGGAGGGGGCATCCACAGCCGCTCTGGGCAACCTGTTCCAGTGCCTCACCACCCTCACAGTAAAGAATTTCTTTCTAACATCTCATCTAAATGTTGACTGACTTATATTTGTCAGTTCTATTGTTATAAGGAGTTTTGATTAAACCCCCAGAGAAAAACTACAAGTAAACTGGATCTGAACTGGCAATACTGGTTTTTACCTTATTTTAGAATGGATTTACAAAAAGAATGTGATTAATTTGAAACATTGGTGGTTTTCATCGTGGAACTCTGTGTGAGTGACCTGAGGGCTCTTTATACGTTAAGAGTAAATGACTTATTTCAAAGGTATACTGAGCAAATACTAGCTATGATCTTGAACTGTAAAATACCTGGGAAAGGCTGTAGAAGGAAATGATCGGGGGGGTGTGTGGAATTCAGAATGAGGAAAAAGGTGTAAAACCATTTTTGCTTAGCTAGCCTGAATGACACTCCTCAGAGGGAAAACAGAATGTAATAAACTTGCTGTAGGGCGCTAATACTTTCATCCATTTAGGTTTAACTTCTTCATTTGGACTAATGTACATAGTTCTAGGTATTTTATATACTAGAGTATTTAGCAAGTCCTGCTACTTTCCATATTTTTATACAAAGTACTGTGTTCATTTTCAAAGCCTGGTTTCAGTCATGTTTAATATCTTCAAGGGTGTTTTGAAGGTAAGTACTGTTTCACTCATGAAAATGGACTTCGATGAAGCAATTTGAATTTTGTTCCCCATTTTTACAGTGTATTTTTTTGCCTTATTCCATCTACATTCCTGTACTCAGTTTCTCTGTTTGTAAAGTGCTTCTACCTCGCGTGGCATTGACAGTAAACACTAATTTTTGTATAGTGCTTCTCCTTTTTAAAAGAGTTAGCTATAGTTCTTCCTGATTCTCCTAGTACTTGACCGGTATACAGTCTTAAATATGTCTGTTTCAAAGACTGCATCTTCCATGCTTTGAAAGCTCATTTCTGTAACTGAATTCCAGGAACTTGGATAGACTTCTGTCTTAGCCAGTTTGGGAGCATGAGGGTGAGCACAGAAGAGAAAGGAAGCTACCACAGAGTGCCAGGATGACACCACCACCAGGGTGAAATCCAGTCAAAAGGGTTCTTTGTAAATGCACTGAATATATGGGTCTGATGATACAGACATGCTGAAATGCTTCTGAGAAATTTGTTAAGCACCTGTAGGCATTTTTAGGCATCCAGATATCTTGGAGATTAGGCCTTAATCTCTTGATCTACAGTTTAAAAAATAAAAAGTGCCATGATGTTTCCAGAACACTTCATGTACTCCTTCACTTGGGTAGGTAATAAATGCAAAGTACTAGTATTGTCCTAGTGCTAGGATTAGTAGCCAGCCTTATGTCCTGCCAGCTAAATAGCCCTAAGTCATTACTTAATCTAAAACACGATTAGATACTGCTGTAGTTTGATCTCAGATTTATTAGGTAGGTATGTATTACCAGTAGCATTAAGAAATGCTTTATGAAAGGGCTTTATTTCCTCTGAAATGTTAAGTAATACTTTATTTTTCTGACTGTGTGGAGGAACTGGTGAGAACTAAAGAGAGAACAGAGGGAATGAAGTGCCAGGGTGGTGAATTTTGCTTCTGGCCTGTTCTTGCATCAGCCTGCTTTCACAGTGGCTCTTCCAGGCTGGGCTAGGGGTTTTCAGCAGCTGCAGCCCTCTCTCAAGGCAGTTTCTAATATTCTGAACGGGTCTCCTTTTCTGATGGTGGACTTGGGTTCATTATTCATGCATGTATGCTGTGTCACGCAGAAGAGAGTTGCTGAAGAGTGGGATGGTTGTTACAGAATCACATGCCTGACTCTGAGTCTGTTCCTGATCCTTCCCAAGCGAAGCAGGGAGGTTAGGAGCATGGATTGGTAGTCTGAGGTGTGAGCCATGATTTACATATGACATAAACAGTGTGCTATGTATCCTATCACACCAGGGGTGGGGGGCAGGTAAAGCACAAAGTTCATTTTTGCCACCAAAATGTTACATATCCTCTAACTGGAAAGCTTTGACTCTGCTGGCATGAGTAAAGAATCACAGGAACATTTTGAGACTTCAATGAATGCATGAAGCACATGACCCTGCAGCATCAGAGCGCCACGTATGGACAGCGTAAGCATAATGTATTGTCCGCAGATGTGTCTGTGTTCCCCCTCTCTGCATTCACTGAACTGTGATGCTGAGGTTTAGATGAATGACGGGAGAGAGGTACCATGTAAACCTAAGGAAGTTGAAAATTACTTTGATTTTCTCGGCCAGAGTGAAAATGGTAACAAATGACTTGCAAGCTCTCTCACTTTACCAAGAATTTGTTTCAGAGTGATGACTTTCTTTTATTTTTTTACCCTCCATAGGTCAGATTTAGCTTCCTGAACATCAGTGTGTGGTTGCGTTTCAAATGGGATGGCTAGCCAGGGCACAAGTGTGGAATGGGCAGCTCTCGTACTCACCACATGCTGGAGCGGTAGCTGGATACAGTGGGATGGCGCCAGCACCTACCCTTAGGTAACTGACTCTGCCAATTATCTCTCAGAACTTGGTAACTGGTTTTAGGAGGGTGCTGGCATAGTGGTACCTCCTCGCTCTGGGAGGAAAGTATATCACCTCAATAAATATTTTGCAAAAGACTTCTGGTGTCTAAGAAACCTGCCAGACCAGTGTCTGTTAACAACTACAACCTGTTTTGTTTTTATCAACCTGTGATTGGTTCTGTATTAAAACTAATGAGAGGCACTGGCTGGCTGTCATACCAAGGTTTGGTAATGCTTTTTGGCTGGTTAGCTCAAATTAAACAAGCTACTTAAGAAAGAGTTCCCCATTAGGTTTATCCATATCACAAATACTGTATTGCCCTGCAAACCACTCACTTAAAATTCTTAAACTAGGTTAGTTACCTAGTCCTGCTCCTGGATGCTTGTTCTACATACCTGTTGTATCGGCTCCAGTGCTTGTACAGATGTACAGTGAATCAGATGATGGAACGGGTTTAAAAAATTTTTTTTTTTTTTTTTTTTTTTAAGAAATGAAAGGAGAGAAGCAGATGAAAGTCTTTTTCTGTTGGGAGCTTGGATTTAAAATGAAGTTTCTATTACTAGGTTTCAGGTGACAGGGAATGTGGGAAATTGTATTTTGCTTTCTCCAGACAATAACCTTCATGTTTCCTCGGATACCTAATGCACCTTAAGGGTTTATATGTATGACCGCACTCTAGCTCCATTAAACTAATAATACATCCCAGCCTATGTGCATATATCAGTGCCATAGATCTATTAATTCACACTGGTAACGCAGCTTGAGCTGTGATACTGTAACTGTAATATTGTAATTCCAGGCAGTCAAAATGCAAGTCAACGATGGACGAAATAAACCCAAAACATCTCTGTGTTTCCTTTCCCCAAATTCTGGCAGTTTCTCCTGCTTCGTTATTTTTAGGAATCACTCTGGTGAGCTAATTAAAAAAAGGAGGCACCTTTACCTGAGAGTATGTATGGAGTATCTGCATTCTGGTTGGTTGTATAAGGAGGAAGGTTATATGAAGAGAACATTTCCCAGAGTTGTGGTGCTGCTGTTGACACCCTAGGTTGGCTTTCAAAGCTCTGGTTTCACGAAAATGTGGGGAGAAAGTCATTATCTTCATTTCATATTGAAGTTTTTTCAAAGGCATTAGTACATATACTTCTATTGCATACAAATACCACTACCTCACTAGAAAAAGATCCGTGCATGGCTGTGCAGAAACTAAAGAGAATAATGGTGTCATGCAGAAAAGAGAGAAAGCTAAGAGCTTGTATTTGTGCATGATGCTTATTGAGGTTCATTCTTTGAAGAAACAGCCATAGAACACTGAGAAAGATATAAAGTCTTAAAAGGATGGGTAGGCTTAGACTCAACAAAAATGTAGGATGATGTTTTATTTGTTGCACTGTATACCTTAAAAAGGAGAGAGTTTAGGAAAAGTTGTAGTCATACCTATAAAGGCAAAAAACATTGCTGCTTTAACCACCTTGGCTCTAACAGGCAAGATTAGTTCCTAAAAGTTTAAGCTCTACAAAATCACCAGCCCCCTGTGGTTATATAGTGATGTATAAAGTTTGTTGTTGTAGAGGTTAAATACACCTAACGGTGGAGCAGGTTGCTATTCGGGTGAGCGGGTGGTTGCGTAGTTTGTGACACAAGAAAAGTGCTCTCCCAGTGTCTTACGGGGAACTCCTTTAAACTACCCAAAATAAATTGCAGTGGAGGGAAAAAAATGAGGGTGGTTAGTGGATCTGCTGGTTCCACAGTCGTTCCATTAGCCTCTGTCTCACCTTGTTTTCCTGGTTGGGGCACTGAGTGGTTTTGAACAGTCCAAGAGAGAAGGAGGTTTGACCTATCCTATGATATTTTGTATTGGCTGTAGTTGAATTAAAGCATTGTTAGAGGATACAATACTGACTGAAGACATTGCTGTGCCAGGCTGCATTACTGCAGTATTTAAGAAGGCAGCGTGATGTAATACATCATGCTTATTTAATGCAAATAAGGAGATTATCTTGAGCAACGGTAAAAAGTCAAGATGCTGCGTCAGTAATTATTTCTGAGACTTCAGTATGTTTTGGGGAAATGCCATTTCCAGCCAAATCTCAGGTTTTATTCTAAAGGGGTGAAGCATCAATTTTCAATTAACATCTTTGCTGATTTT